ATAATAATAAATAAATGTGACAATTTGAGCGTATGTAATTTGGGTTAAAACGAGAAAAGCGCACGCTTTGTTGTATTGCATAATGAGAATTGAGCTGCGACTTTAAAAAGCTGCATAGCGTTCATTGTAAAATATCTAATCGTATTTTTGAAGAATACTTAAAGTGTATTTTAGATAACACTCGACTATAATTACACCATATTAATATTTAAACAAGTTAATTTTACACTTAAATACATGTAAAATATTTTTTTGTTTTACACATTTATGTGTAATGTATATGTACAGTGTATATGATGATGATGATGACCACGTGACTGAGATATGTTGATTAACTAAGACAAGTAGCCCATGACTTTCTATGTCCCAAATAATTGTACAAGAGAACAACAAAGAAACTTAATTTCACAATTAGATTATTAGTAAAAATAAATACCAATTTTTTTTATACAACTTAGAATGGCAAACAAGCTGACGGCCCACCTGCTAGAAAGTGGTAACCGTCGCCTATAAACATGAGCAGTACCATGGGCATAATAGAGTATACTGAATGAATGATACTTTGAATGTTTAAATATTTTGACATACAAAGTATGTAAAATAACGTGTCATTCAAGAATCGGCTAACCGTTCCTTAAGGCACTTTTTAACACCTATTAACGCACCATCTAGATAAATAAGACCTTTCGCAGTCTACGGAGTGGATTACGTTCAACAACCAAGTCATTTCGGACTTAGTAAATTTTAAGTGATTGTAATAAAAATTTAAAAATACAACTAAATGATACTTTTTAAAATAGAGCCAGAGCACTATTTAAAATAGCTAAAATATAAAATAGAGTTATGATTAAATTCACTGCTTTTGACAAGCGTGCCAGCCGTCGAACGAATAAAAATTCCTGTCCAATTTTTTTAAATTTCTGAACGCTTTGTGGAACATATCATTCTACGAGGATAGTTTTAACATTTGAGAATATTGTTTCCAATCTCCATATTATTTTCGTTCACTATACTAAAGGTTTTTTTATCTACATACTTATAAATATATTGCCTTTTTTCTCACTGTCCTTCACACATAAGTTATTTTTAATGGGTGAAAATGGTATGGAACCCCGCCTGCGCTAACGGGATACGCTGGCGGAGCACCAGTGAAGGGATGATGACAAGATGAGAATGAAAACAGGCCAGTTAGCCCATCATAATGAATTCATCAGGAATTAACCATGATAGTGTCCAGGGAGAACCGCGAGGAGGTGAACCTGGTTGGGTATATTGCTAGCAATGGGATTCTCAGTCTCGATTACTAACAATCCCTTTCCCCCCTCCACCCAAAGGTTGTCAGGAAGAAATTGCATTTTGTACCACTTATTACTTTTTTACTTGTTGCAATAAAATCTAAAATAAATAAATATAATAAAACTAGCGATCCGCCACGGCTTCGCACGAGTAAAGTATATATGCTCTATATATGCTTACATTTTTTACGTCAGCTTCTTGCGTCCAATATGAATTAAATGGGTATAGTAAGCTATCCTTAAAAGACAGACATATGCCGTCGCGGACTTTTTTGTAGATCTATAAAAGAGAAACAATCCAATCATACATTATTTTGTTATACCCCAAAACGGATTAGGCAGCGTTTTCGATGAAAGCTCTCAATCAACTTGATTTCTTCCGACAACTTGTATCTTATAGTGTTTTTCCTATTGGATAATAATGGAGTGCTAACCCCGTCTGCCCTAACGACATATGCTGGCAAGACAGCTGGGGAATGATATGTGAGAATGAAAAGGCAGGTCAGTTAGCTCATCATGATGAATACACTAGAATTCAGCACGGTGGTTTCCAGGGAGGACAACGAAGAGGTCGACCTGACAGGGTATATTGCTAGCAATGGGACTAGTAGTTCGCATTACTAACAATCTCCCCCTCCCCCTTATTATATTCATACGTAGATATGTATATATTCTCACAAAGTCGCATTTAACCAGAGGGAGACTTTGTACAAAAGTCGATTGCTTGGGTACCTTTGTCCCATTCGTGTTTCAACCGTAAAGCAGTTGTGTTTGCATGGCTGTGTTTCGGTTTGAAGGGTGGAATATAGCGTGAATTTACTGGGTACAGAGGAATAACACCTCAGTCCTCAGGAATGGCAACGCATGGGGGGTATCATGGGCGAAACAGTATACTCTGTTATGTCCATGGTACTGCTCATGTCTATAGGCGACGGTGACCACTTTCCATCAGGTGGGCCGTCAGCTTGTTTGCCATTCTAAGTTGAATAAAAAAAAAAATTAAATCACGGAAAAACGTATCTAAATGCAATTTGATAAACGGGTTGTTTAAGTCCTTACTTAGCACATAAGATAATCTCGTACGCGGGCGAAGCCGCGAGACACAACTAATAATAAGTATAATTTATTTTATTTTTAAATAACAATTCAATTAGCTTAAAAAACTTTCCTGGAAGAAATCTCTTATTAGAGATAAAGCTCGCCTTTGTACATTACGTTTAAAATTAATTGCTCCTAACCTAACATTATGTTTGTATACAATAAAGAATACAAAAACACGATGCTAGTTGTTTTTTATATTCATCCATTTATGGTGTAAATACCTTATTTTCCTTATTTATTTCGGTTACCTTATTTCCTAAGAACGTTATAATTATAAAGACTAGAGGGAGACTTTGTACAAAAGTCGTTTGCTTGGGTACCTCTGTCCCATTCGTGTTTCTACCGTGAAGCAGTTGTGTTTGCATGACTGTGTTTCGGTTTGAAGGGTGGGATATGGCGTGAATTTACTGGGTACAGAGGAATAACACCTGAGTCCTCAGGAATGGCAACGCATGGGGGGTATCATGGGCGAAACAGTATGCTCTGTTATGTCCATGGTACTGCTCATGTCTATAGGCGACAGTTACCACTTTCCATCAGGTGGGCCGTCAGCTTGTTTGCCATTCTAAGTTGTATAAAACAAAAAACTCAAAATCGTGTATATTCAATTAGATTTATTATTTTATCCACTTGCCGACAAGACTGTACGGCTCATTTCCTTTGCCTTGTCTCTCGTCGTCAACTTGACACAATAAGTATCACTGCATAAAAGAAAGTTCTACGGATATGCCTGTCCGCCATTACAAGTTAATCTTAAAAGTATCTAAGTACTTAATCAGGATTTTCTCCTTCTCTTCTGATTAATTAAACGAACTTACTCACTAAATTGCGCAAAGGTTTATAGCTCCAGATACATCATATAAAAATGGCGGAGTTCAAGTTCTCTCCAAGTACCTATAAGTAACTATGTATATAGTTAGGGCTGCCATCCGTCCGGAATTCCCCTGATTTGTTCTAGTCTGAAGGGCGTCCGGGGGCCGTCCTTTTGTTGTCAAAAAAAATTAGATATCCCAATTTTTTTTTTTATAGATAGGCAAACAATTGAAATAAATCTTAGTTACAAATCCATCCACAATAACCTTGTTTTTATGGAAAGGGATTGTTAATAATGGAGACTGAGAATCCCATTGCTAGCAATATACCCAACCAGGTACTCCTCGCGCTTCTCCCTGGAAACTATCATGGTTAATTCCTGATGAATTCATCATGATGGGCTAACTGGCCTGTTTTCATTTTCATCGATCACCCTTCACTTGTGCTCCGACAGCGTATACCGATAGCGCAGACAGGGTTACCATACCATTTGCACCCATAAAAAAAACGTTGTTTTTATATATATATATATATACGGTGTCGGCAATTTTGGTGATGGCAACCCTATATATATTATAGTACGAGCGACCTGTAAGGTTACTTTTGATATAAATTCCAATAAATCGATATTGGAAATGAAACGTTTCGCTCACTAATTGCAACACTAGCGACATAATGATTCCATACTGTTCTGATAGATGCATATTAATACAACTTGCCAATGCAATCTATTGCAAATCGATTCCAATTTTAATTTATATCCTATTTGTTATTTCATGAGTGCAGTACAAAATTGTCATTGACATTAGATTGGTTTAATAAAATAAAATCTAAATGAGGAAGGAGATCGCAACAATTTCTCAGAGAAGGGGTCTTTTACAAACAATAAGGTTGAAATACTACGTTTATTTTTAGTTGAACATTCCTGAATGGAAATAGAAGCGAACATTTGGCTAATTGGAAAACTTTCTAGTAAAGTAAACTCCCTGCAATTTACCTTATCAGATGTTTTAAACTTTATCGCGATGGATGAGAGAAGTATCTATCTTCCCGCCAAATCCAAGGTAGAAGGGCGAGGCTACAAAATTTTTTTATATAGATCTCGACACAGATTAAAAATAGCACTCACTGGGCATAGATTAATGATAATACCTGTGGTCCACCAAAGAAATAGATATTCATAATTACAAATGTTTTGAACAAAACCATAGACAATTAGTATATGCTTATAGGATATGCTGGCGGGGCACCAGTGAGGGATGACAAGTGAAGATGAAAAGGCAGGTCAGTTAGCCCATCGTGACGAATTCCACTAGAATTAGTCACGATGGTTTCCAGGGAGAACCGCGTGAAGGTCGACCTGATTGGGTGTATTGCTAGCAAAGGGTCAATTGGACCCTATTACTAACAACACCTTTCCCCCCATATTTCTTTATTTACCCCTGTCAACAATATACTATAAATAGCTACAGCAATCCTTACTCTATATTTTTGACCACGGGTACTAATCTCAATTTATATTCCTTAGACTTATGCAATGAAATAGTAACTTATTGAGCACAGATTAGAAATACCACTTACGATTCATTAAAGTACAAAATAATCATAAACAAAATATTGTTTAAACCCATAGATTAAGGACAGTACTCTACATTTAAAGTATACTCTCAGAAAATCAGGCTGTATGGCTTAGTTCCTTTGCCTTTTCCATTATGATTAAATCGATACTACAACTTAAGCTATACCCTCACTTTTTTTTTATTATTATTATAACCTAATTTTACGTTTTTTTTTATTAATATAGGAGAATAGTATCTGCGGTTTCTATATACAGGATATTTTTCCTCACAAAATCTGATCATGTTTTACGACAGGAAATTAATGAACAGTTCATATATAAAGAATATATGGCGGGCGGCTAACGATCAAAACACTAATTTAGAAGATGAAAAACTGCCGGATATTTGGTAAATAAATAGCTATGTATACGTGTTAATTAATCATTCGCTTGGTTTTTTTTTATACAAAGTATTAAAGTATAAATTATTATGTTAAGGTTATTTACACTATCATGGATAAAGTGGATTCCGTTATGTAAGACTTCAGTGTATTTATGTAAGATTTATTTCGAAACCTGACAAATGTGGCAGTAAAATTACTAAATACGGTGACGGACGTCATCGGGAATGGTAACACATGAAGGATACTGTGAGTACACTGTACTATGTGATGGTGCTATTCATTTCTATACGCGACGGTTACCATGTTTTATCAGGTGTGATGATTTGCTGGCCAAAGACCTATCCTGACTATTTATAGATAGAGCATCGACTCTCAAAAACGGGTCAACTTTTTGTCAACTAATTGGACAATTAGCTAACTAGTTTTTTTTTTTTTTTTATCAGTGTTCTATGTATCTTGACGTATTATTTAATGAATAAAAAGAGTATTTACGCATTAAAAAGATGCAAAAATCATAAAACAAAATAAATATAAAAGTTATAAAGGAATCACTCATAACTATTTATCACGCAAAATTGTATGAAAATTGACCCGCTTTTCTCAAAGTATTTGTATGGAAACACTCTTTTTATATAATCTAAGGCTGACTACTTCCATCTTTCACAGTCGCTGGTCAAGGCGTACTTGTTTTTATGGAAATATTTAAATAATATCTCCATTGCAAATGTGGTTCGAAGCATTTGGTGTTCCATTGTTTCTGCCTACCCTAAAGTTGTACAGGCGTGATTGATATGTACATGCGTATGGAAATTTTGTTTGCCTAATTTATATGTCATCATCATCATCATCATCATCATCATCTTACCCTTATCCCAATTATTTTTTTGGTATCTGCATAATATGTTTTCCTCTTCCATCCATCTCAATTCACATTCATTTCCACACTCCTTCTGGATGTGTATGTATTTAAAAAATATATTATTCTTGGTCATCCTCTTATATTTTTACTTTTCTTCTCAGTGGCTGGCTAGATAAATGGATCGGCAGCGACTGCAACGATGGACGAAGCCGTCTCTCGCTCCGCACAGCGGCTGTGCTTATTGATGGCGCAGCCAAAGTATATGAAAGGAAACTTAAGAGGTTGTTTGAAGGTAAATCATGTTTAATACAAATTATTGACGGCTCATATGATAGAAGCTGTTAACCGTCCATATCTATACACATGAGCAGCACCATGGGTATCACATCATATCAGCCGTTTGAACATAGCCTTCCCCATAAAATGCCCCTAGAATCCCCTAATGAGTTTTGCCCGTAGTTGCCACGCTTAGCAGGCGGGTTGGCAACCGCAGTTAAGCCTTGACGATATTTTAAAAAGGACGCCGCTGCCCATCCCTTGATCATTAAGTTCTCTCACCACACGCACGAGAAAAGAAGGAGTGGCCTATTCTATACCGGGACCACACGGTACCCATGGTACCTTAATACGTCGACTATTATTAAGGTATTAAGGTACCATCATTATGATTCCTGAGGACAATGGTGTAGTGCTTCCATGTCCAGTAATTACTGCCATATATCACACTTAAACATCTTCTTTGATGAGCCCAAAAGAGATAGATACTTCAGAACTGAATAAAGTCTTTGTCGCTTATAATATTGGTAATAAAATAATATTCTTTGTAAAAAAAACTACATGTTTCAGATATTGATAATTTAGAAAAGGACATGATAAAGCGTAATAGGTTAAACAACGTCGGACTTGATGATTGTAGTCTACAGTCTACGGAAAATGATGACGTAAGCTTGACATCTTCAGATGAGAAGTCTAAAGGTCCAGATACATCTAATAGTGAGTAAATTTAACACAAAGTTTTTTACCTCAAATGTAAAGGAGTGGTATAAATTTAAGGTGTATATTTACATTGCTGTCGTTTCGATTATGGAACTCATTAGTACTACCCTACCTCTAAACCAGGGGTTCCCAAACACATTTTGTCTACTGCCCACTTTGAGAATAAATTATTTTCTAGCGCCCCTATTTTTTCACCTACTTAAAAACCACTATTACTTCAAGATCAACAAATTACCCCCCCCCCAAGCCTCTACATAACGCCCCCTTTTTTTCCGGGTCTCTTACCGCCCTTTAGGTCTGCAGCGCTCACAAGAGGGCGTTATCGCCCACTTTGGAAAAGGCTGCTCTAAACGGTGCGCTCAACGTCTGGCTATTTTTAAAAACCTAGGTAAATCACACTACCTATCCTTATAATCACTTAGTCCTCATTATTTCCTACCAGAATTATGTGTCTTAAAAATGTAAGTTAATGTTGTTAACTTAAATGCTTGAATGCTAACTTAACACATGGGTTTATGTACTGATACACGCGGGCGGAGCCGCGAAATGCGTCTAGTAATTGAATAATACAAAATTAATTTCAGATGAATCTAACCTAACAGATGGAAGTAGTAATGAGATGTCAAGCCGAGACGAGGACAATGTGCCGCGCTGTACTATTGAAAACTCCGATGATATTTCAAACTCCGAGTATGTCGGACAGTTGAGCACAAGTATAGAGGTTTGAGAATTCATTACTTGGAACAATTGAAAGAATGAATATGAATGAATGAACTAGAATAATTGAAAATGATTAATGAACTTTCATCGTCATCACCATATTAGCCATATTCTGTCTCCTGCTGAACTCCCCATAGACTGACATAAGAAATGGGGCGTTCCTTATGACCATTACGTTCCCTTAGTCTTCTCTTATGACAGCAAATGACACAACGAGGAAAGGGATTGTTAGCAATAGAGTTTGGCAGCCCCATTGCTATCAATATAGGGAACCACGTGGAGGTCGATAGTAGAGATAGGGTATCTCTACTATCGACCTCCACGTGGTTCCCTCTGGAAACCATCGTGAACAATTCTTGTTGAATTCGTCTCGATGGGCTAACTGACCTGCTTAATCCTCACCTATCATCCTTCACTGGTGCCCCGCCGGTGTACACCGATAGCGCGGGTAAGGTTACTATTTCATTATCACTCATAAAAAACACACGAAACGACCCCATCAGGCCAACCTCCACGCAGTTCCCTCTGGAAACCATCTTGGTTAATTCTCATAGAATTTGTCACGATAGGCTAACTGTCCTGATACCATATTCACTTATCATCGCTCACTGGTGCCCCACCAGCATATACCAATAGTGCAGGTAGGGTTACCATTCCATTATCATCTATAAACACACACGGAATGAACTGTACTGAATTAAAATTAATGACAGCACTATAAATAACCTAACTAACAGCAAAGAAGCTGAAGCCACGCCTGATGAAAAGAGGTAAAAGCCAAAAGACATAAACTGCAACATGGATGTAAAAGAATACTCTATCCCTTTTCTAAATCCCTTTTATGGGATAAGTCCGCCATTGTACTCATTCTTCTCTTAAGAACTGTGTATCCTATAATTTAAGACTTTACTGTACAATAAAGTGTTACAAACAAACAAACTCTGCGATATTCGTTGTACCTCTCACGTGTTGTCATTCTTGACGATTATGATTTTATGCCTCTTTTTATTTTATTAGAATTTTATTGAAGTACTGTAAAATTGTTGTATAAATAATATCAATTCGGCTATTCTCTGTCCGCTGCTGGACATATAGATTGCCATATCCTATAGACTGCTATAAGGAACGGTACTGTGCCATCTGCATCCACTAACTCCCGACAATACACTTGAGATCGTCACTCCATCTAGTGGGAGGTCGTCCTACACTACGTGTGCCCGTACCGCCACTCAAGATTAATATATATATGTAGATAAATAAGCGACGTGCTGAAAAGGGGCCAAATTAAAAGTACCCGTAACCGGCGAGCGTGTATGAAAAGATTGATGAATGTGGAAGAAGCGAAAGAGGTTTGTTTGAATCGAAGCATTTGGTGTTCCATTGTTTCTGTCTACCCTAATGGGAGACAGGCGTGACAGATATGTATGTATGTATATATAAATATATATATATATATATAATGCTAATTATTTTATCCACAGCTCATAGAAAGAACAAATACAGAAAAAACAATCGAAAATCAAACTTCTACCACAAACGAAGGGATCACAGAAGGTTGCTCATTCGATAAGGACCTACCATTTGGTTATATCATGGTCTATGACAATGTTCATGATAGAATACCGAGCAAAATCATTTTTTCCTCATTCGATCGTAAGATAAAGAAGTTAATTTGATTGAATTTAGATCCATTTATGTGATCTTTTTTTTTTAATTTTTTTTTTATATATTTCCTTATTGTGCTACCAAGGAAAATCAGTGTTTACCTTATTTAATCGTAAAATACAAAAGTTAATTATGGTTTTTAGTACCATCATAATATTATATTATCATAATATTTTTTTTTTTTTTGGAAATTTTTAATCCGATTTAGATCAGGTTTTTTTATTACATCGATCGTTATAAAAGTGAATAAATAATCAGTACAGTAATAAAGTATATTTCCTTTTGTTATTTTATTTTTCTAAATAACTAAAAGTATTTTAAAAAACCTCATAAAATCAAGTTACAAACCGATTTAAAAAATTCCTTTTTTGTATGAAAGGATGTACTTCAAGAATGGTAAAATTTCATTGAAGTCTCTCTCTCGAGCTTCCTGTCAAGGTTTTTCCAAGAGTCTCCAGCATGGGGTTCTTCAAAAAAGAGGTAAAAGGTTTAGGGTCGACAACTCCTCTGATATTGTAAGCGTTCATAATTTACGATCAGGTGACCCACCTTGTTTGCCATCTAAGTGGTAAAAGATGAACGCTGCTGCCCACTACCCGAGCATTACGTTCTCTTAGTCGCCTCTTACGACATCCACGGTAAAGGATACGATGGCCCATTCTATGCCTATGCTATGGAGCACACGGCGATGCAACAAATTGATGACTAATAGGGAAGTTCGTAGAACTTCTAATAATAATAGTAGTCAATCATCAAATGCTGAAGGGGAGGGGATTGTTAATAATGCCTAATATTAGTCGCATTGCTAGCAGTGTACCCAGTCAGATCGACCTCCACGTGGTCCCCCTTCGAAATCATCGTGCTGAATTCCAGATGTATTTATCACGATGGGCTATCAAACCTGCCTTTTTATTCTCACCTATCATCCCACACTGGCGCCCCGCCAGCGTATTCCGATAACGCAGACAGGGTTACCATTTCATTATCATCCATTGGGGGAAGGAATTGCTAGTAATAGGGTCATCAGGTTGACCTCCACGCCGTTCCCTCTAGAAACCATCGTGGTTAATTCTTGTGGAATTCATCACGATGGACTAACTGGCCTGCTTTCATTCTCACCTATCATCTCTCGCTAGTGCCCTGCCAGTATATATCGATAGCGCGGGGTTACCATTCCATTTTCATCCTACAAAAAAAATTATCATCCATTGAAAAACAATCCTCAAATGTTAACAATCGCACGAATACTAATGGTAGTGAAATAAAAAAAAAACAATCAATTAACCAATAAAAAAATTGACAAAAAAAAAATAAACCTAATTAAAATAGGGAACCGCCTTCTTTGGGAGTCAGTTAAAAATGGGATCCCTTAATGGTGTTCACATCAAATGTCTCTGCGTATCCCTAACACCCCCGTACCCTGAATAGAGGCCATCAGCTAGGGTGGTTAGGTATTGACAGCGCATAAATTTTTATATAAATCACCATTGTTATGTTTCATTTTCTATAAATAACCTTACCCAGTCAATAGAGTGTTGACGTTATTGTGGCTTGGACCCGCCGTCAAATTAATTGTCAATAGCTTAACAATTGAGCTGTGTAATCGTGAGCAGCAGGTTCGATTTTTATCAAATATTTTATATTCAATACTTTTATGTACATTTAAAATGGGCATCAACTAAGTTGTTAACTCTCAACCATCCCATAGTAATAACAGCATGCACGAGGCCTATAAAATCAAAGGCAGGTAAACGCCATAAAATCGATTTCAGTTTCACTCTGTACTCAAATATAAGGGGGTGAGGAAGGGGGGAGTGGTTTTATTAATTAAAATTCAAATTATTACTAATATAATGGACTGGCTGGACCTGTTACTGTGCAATAAGGAAATTGTGGAGGTCTCTGAGTGCTCAAATCCTGTAAGAAATATAGACAAATATCATCCAGCATTAAAAATTAAAATAAAAATCCCAACAAAAAGTAAAAAAATATCTATACCCACCAGGCTTAATTTCTATAAGGGCGACTATAATGCAATTAACTTATGTCTCAAGTCGATACCCTGGACTGAACACTTTGACTCCTGCAATGATGTTAATGAGATGTTGTCGAAATTTTATGATTTATTACAAGACACTATTAATTCTTACATCCCTATAACCAAAACACGAAAAAATTCATACCCTGTGTGGTTTTCATCACACTTAATATATTTACTTAAACAAAAAAATAAATACCACAAAAGAATAAAAAAATATAATAATTCACTTGATAAAATAGAATATGATTATTTGAGAGGTGACTGTAATAAATTAATAAAAGAATGCTATAATAGATATATTAATGAAATGGAAAATGTGTTAAAAAATAATCCCAAAAAATTCTGGACACATGTGAAGGGTATGCGTAGAAATAGTTCATCGTATCCAAACACAATGACCTTGAATAATAATACTTCTTCTGATGCTGACAAAATTTCATGTATGTTTGCGAGTCACTTTTCTTCGGTGTATGAGGAGGAGGATAATTGTGGAAATAATTTCACTCCTGTGATGACTTCTCAAGTACTCGACATGATCGGTTACATTCATTTGACGCCAGAGGAAGTTAAAGGTAAACTTAAAAAACTAGACACAACAAAGGCTATAGGCCCAAATAAAATACACCCGCTATTTCTTGTAAAGTGCGCTGATACATTGGCTCTTCCATTGAGTATGATTTTCAATCAATCTCTTGGTTCGGGCATATTTCCTGATGAATGGAAGAAGGCTAATATAGTACCGATATTCAAGAGCGGTAATAGGGAGAACATATCTAATTATCGACCAATATCTCTGTTGTCATCGATGTCTAAGTTGTTTGAGTCAATGGTTCATTCAGTTATGTACTCTCATATAAAAAAGTACATAGTAGATATTCAGCACGGATTTATGGCAGGGAGATCAGTAAATACTAACCTTATACTTTTCACCTCAGAGTTAAAGGAAGCAGTCGATCGAAATGTTCAGGTGGATGTGGTTTACACAGATTTTGCAAAAGCCTTTGACAAGGTAAACCACTATATCTTAGTGAAAAAATTGCAAACATTTGGAATAGGAGATAATTTGCTGGAATGGTGTAAATCTTACCTTAGAAACCGTTCCTCGAGAGTAGTATTTGACGGTGTTCAATCATCCTCCATTGTGGCTTCCTCAGGTGTGCCTCAGGGCTCTATTTTAGGACCTCTATTCTTCAATGTCTTCATTAATGATATTATGCAAAATATTAAGCATAGTAATGGATACCTATTCGCTGATGACTTTAAAATGATGAAGATAATAACAAAACCATCAGATGTGGAATGTTTTCAGAAGGACATCGATTATTTAATCAAATGGTGTAATAATAACAAAATGTATTTAAATACTTCAAAATGTTACCACATAAAGTTTACACGGAAACTCAAGAAGTTGCAATCGCATTATTTTATCGAGGGTAAGCAGCTTCAAGAGGTTAGTGTTGTGCGAGATCTTGGGGTTTTGATGGACAGTCAACTAAGATTTTCGGAACATATTGATAAAATTGTAAATGAATCAAATAAATCATTGGGTTTTATCCTTAGGAATACAAGGTGTTTCAAGAAACCATCCACTGTCATTCAACTGTACAATAGCTATGTCAGAAGCAAGTTGGAATATTGCAGTATGGTGTGGTCACCTATGTACAAGATACATGAGGACAGAATAGAGAGAATACAGAGGAAATTCGTTCGTAGCCTAGCTTATCGTTTTAAAATATCAAGAAATATGAAAACCTACAAAAACAAAATTAAACATTTTCACCTTGATGAACTATGCCTGCGCAGATCTTACCTTGACATGTCTTATCTTCATAAGTTAGTGAATAATCACATTGATTGCCTGCCTCTACTGGGGAAACTAGATTACAATGTACCTGCTAGAGTGCCGCGGCATCCTTGTAATCTATTTAAAAATGCAGCTTGCCGAACAAACTTGGGTCGCGAATCACCTATCGTCCGCATAACGCGTCTGTATAACGATATTGTAAAAACCAAGCCTGAACTTGATATTCACTGCGATAGTCACTCTGTATTCATGACTAAATTAAAGTGTTGATATACCTCCCCATTACATTATATTTATTTATATTTTATAATAATTTGAATACAATTTCCATTATTTATATTATATTATTATTCACATTGTTAATATCTTTACTCATTTAATAATTTAATTATATTTTAATGTTTGTCAAACACAAGGCATGCTGTGGTTGCCTATAAATGTAAGAACGGTGAGATCTGAGCTGCCAGTGTATTGTATTAAAACTTAGCTTTATTGTAGCTGTATCTTATGTTGGTAATCCTGTAAATAAATAAATAAATAATTTTCTTTAATCTGGTTTAAAATATAGAATATCGTTCCATATCCTTAACAAAGTATTAGATTTTGTAGTTTCCTGAACATTTGCCAGACTTGGATTTGGCTGTCTTTAATTTTATAGGTCTCATATCGTCATAGTCGTAGAATACTGACCGATCTTTATATGTAATCTTTGTCAAATCCGTCAGTATTCTAAGACTATGACGATATTTCTTAATATTATTTCTTTATTTATTTACTGTTTATTGCACCACTTATAGAATATAAATATATATTACACATATGAAATACAAAAGCGATCTTATCGCTAAACGCAATCGTCTCTAAACTATTATAAAAAGGAGAAAAAAAGACGGTAGCTATTTGGCGCTAGTAGTAAGAAACGCTCGTGTTATAAAACATTTAAATAATCATATAAATATCGTACATATATTTAAGTAACTATAACATTATATATAAGCAAATATATAAAATACACAACATACATTCAGATATATACATACTGTAATATTTATTTATTTATTTATTCTTTATTGACCACATTACGAAAAATGTCTGGTACAAAAGGCGGACTTAATACTATATTCATTCTCTTATATACATTCTCTCCCAGTCAACCTTTGGCAAAACAGAAATTTTATTATGCGGTAAAAAAATTACAACACATACAATAGAGAACTACTGCACATGATGATTATATAAATATACATACATGAATACATTAAACAAATATTACATAAAATATAAATATGTAATAAAAATATTGTTCATTTATTATAAAGATGTATATTTATATTAGTCTAATTATATGTTTATAATATATGGACATATCGAGTACATACATACATACATACATATCTGTCACGCCTGTCTCCCATTAGAGTAGGCAGAAACAATGGAACGCCAA